AAATCACCAGGTGCGGGCTCCCTCCCTGGGACCCAGTCCCACCTCCCGCCACAGCACTCTGACCCTGCCAGCCGGCCCCTCCTCAGTTCTCACCCTGGGCGGTGCGAGGGAGCCTCTCGTGGAGGCAGCCACCGGCCTCCCGGCAGCTCCCGGAGAGTCTGCGGCACTTTGGGTGGGGTGGGGGGGCTCGATGGGAGGGCGGCGCCAGGGCGGGGTGAGGGGCTGGTCCGTGACGAGGCACTGGAGACTTAACCGTTTCTTTGCCTTCACAATGTCAGTGCTCAGGGCGTCCCCTGAGCGCAGGGGGCTCAGGGGGATCTGTGGCGTCTAGCGGGTCAAAGAGCTAGGCTGATCTCCCCTGGCCCACAGTACCCTTCTCGCACAGTACCCTGCTCAGTTAAGAAACATCCTTTTAAGATTAGCGTGAAGCCCAAAGCCCTGCACTAGGGCTCAGAGCCCTCCCTCTTCTCTTGGAAACCATCTGCTGCCTCCCCCTCAGATGGACCCAGGGAGTGACCTTCAGTCCCAGCTGGGGCAGGAGACAAAAGGGGAGGGGGCAAGGGAGGACTGGGGCGGGGGATGGGAGATCGCTGAGGAGACTTCTTCTGAACCAGGGTCATAGAAACAAAGGCAGGCAGAAATCCGCCTGGCTTGGGGTGAGTACCATTTGGAATTGTGAAACATGGTAGGGCAGAGGGGCCTGGGAGCCCCATGCAGGCCTCTCCCAGTGCGGCGCAGCGCAGCAACTACATCGGCACTGACCGGCAGGATTTGTAGCCTGGGTGGGAGGAGGCAGTGTCTAAAGGCAGGGAACTTCCTGCCTTTCAATGAAGGAGTTAACAAGGACTGAGAGGAATCACCAGGACCCCACACTCAAGCAAGGTTTTCGTACTAGGGTCGAGTTATTAAACGTAGCATAAAGTACTCTTTGGATTAAATAGCGATCTAGTATTAATTATAGGGGGCTCTCTCCTTGCCTCCCAGGAGACTTTCTCTGGGTCTGTGTATCTGTCTCAGTGTGTCTGGACCCTCGGTATCTACCTCAGCCTCAGACAGTGAAGCATCCCAGTACTCACTGGAAGGACCTGGACAGCTCCAGCACTCCTCCCCTGGGAGCTCACTCCCAGTGGGCGTGCCCCTGCCCTCTCCTCCCACTGACCTCCACACCCTGGCCAGCTCCTAGGGCCTGGCACAGTGACTTCTACCCACGCACACCCGGCAGGGACCCGCCCTTGCCCCGGCTGCCAAGAGCTCCCTCTGAAGGTCAGAGAAGCCAAAATGGTCTCTGCTCTCAGCATCTCCCATCCTCCCATGACTGCAGCCAGAGGAGAGGAGAAGCTGAGTCACCAGCACCCTGGTGGGGGTGGGGGTGTAGGGGGCGGAATCCTTGCTCAGATCCGGGGATGCAAAACAGTAACATGGCAACAGCCGCATTTGGATGGGAGAGGCCATCTGCAGACACACAGTGCAGAGCAGACGATTTCCCGAGCATCACATAAGGGAAATACCTCCCCTCTGCAACTTCATACTTCTTATTTCCTCCCATCTCAAGCTCTCTTTCTCCTTTCTGCTTCCTAGGGCTCTCTAGAGTCTTAGGAGGGAAGTTTGAGTAGACATTTGGCTTGAGAACAAATGGCTTCAGACCAGTGCAGAGCCCACCTTTATTCTCAGCTGCTACCCTCAGGGGCCACACCTGGGGCCTGGTTCCCACTCACAGTGGCAGTCTCCTTTAGCCTTCATCCTGTCAACAGCCACTCACAACAACCAGTCAACCTGCTGTGTCCCTAGGATCCACTGAAATGGAATGGTGAGATGCCAAAGAAGAGCAAGAGGCCTGAGCTCAGGCACAAAGTAAGGTCAAAAGTCCTGGACTGTCAGCTGTGGTGGTGCACACACCTGTAATCCCAGCACGTGGGAGGCTGAGGCAGGAGGATCAACATGACTTTGAGGCCAGCCTGGGCTACATAGGAGACCCTGTTTCTTTTTCTTTCTTTTTGGTACTGGGGATCAAACTTGGGTCCTTGTGCTTGCAAGGCAGGCAGCGGAACCACTGAGCTAAATCCCCAGCCCCCGGGAGACCCTGTTTCCAAAAAAAAAAAAAAAAAAGAGGCCTGGAGTTGAGACCTGACTCCATCAATTTACCAGTCATGCAGCTAAACCAGCCACTCCCCCTCTCAGAGGTTCCTGAACTGTAAGATGAGTATGATGTTAGTGTCATCCTTCAGTAATGCAGCGAGGATTGAGTGGCATAAAAGATGAAAAAGTGCTCTCTCATTCATAGGATCCTGAGCTTGAAATGTACTGAAGACTCTGAAAGTATCCCTTTTGTGGAAAACTTCAGAGTTCACCCAGTGATTGGGGAAATTCTAAATCCAACTCTGAGCCCACACCAACCATGGATTACCCTAAACTCTCAGCAAAATCTGAAACGGAGATGCAAAGTTCCATTCATGCTCCTGCTTTTCTATTTCAGGCAACAATGCAAACCTCAGACCCAGGAGCCAGGGAGTTGTTGTCTAATTCAGGATGGCTTTGTAGTGGTGGAAGTAACAGAACAGTCCTTTCCTCAACACATCACTCTTAACAGTCAGAAGGCTTCAAATGGTACCTCTCAGCCTGTGTTTTTAGAGTCTTAAAATAGCAGGGCCCGGGATTTAGCTCAGTGGTTCCGCTGCCTGCCTCACAAGTGCAAGGTCCTGAGTTCGATCTCTGGTACAAAAAAAAAAAAAAAAAAAAAAAAAAATAAAAAAAAAAAAAAAAAAAAAAAAAAAAAAAAAAAGTAACCTTCCCTTTCCTATAGGTGTTTGATTGTAGAAGTATGAGAATTTTATTGAAATTCAGTTTACCTTTTTTCTTTTCGCCATCCTGGGGATTGAACCCAGATCTTCATGCCTGCTAAAGCAAGCACCAAACCACTGAGCTACGTCTGGGCTCCAGACTCAGCTTTCTGTCATCCCAGTTCTTTTTCAGTTTGTTTCATAATTCTAGCTAGGAAATTCCAGACTTTTTTCCCTAGAAGTTGCCAAGGAGGTCCCCAAGTCACTCGCTGGTGGGGATAACCTAGTGGGAAAGCCACCTTGGAAAGCTTTACCAGACAACCACTAGCAGGAGCTGGGCCATGATAACGGTGGGACTAAAGAGTCCCTTCTCTCCCAAGGGTGGGTGGGTGAATGTGGAGAGGGCAGTGCCTAGGGATAACTGCACACTTCCTGTCATTGTAGGATACATTTTTGTTCCCTTTCTCCTCATCTTGGCCCAGAGCTTGAGGTTAGGGATGGTGGCCCAGCTTGCAGGGCAGGCAGAAAGGGTCAAGTGAACTATCCATCTCCTTGAACCCATCCCAGCCTCCAGGCTCCCCTGGCCTCCTCACTCACAGGAGGCTGAGGGAGAGGCAGTGTCTGCAGCTGCTCTGGCCTGACTGTTGTTTGTGGGGACAGCTGAAAGAGGAGCCAGCTGGGTGGGGCTGCGGCAGCCTTCAGCTGTGTGGTTTTTTCCAGGAAATTCTCCACTATTCTCCAGGGACAAAGATGGGTCACCATGAAAATGTCTAAACCTAAAAAAATTCAGTATACTGAAGTAAGCCCTGATCTTAGGTATATAGCCCTAAGACCTTTAAAGACATCATAGCAAAATGCTTTGATTGAAAAGGTCTAGCAGCTGCTTTTATAGCTGTGCCTGTTTCTGGGGAGTGCTTGAGAGAATTATGCATCTCTCAGGCAGCCTCTTCTCAACATCCCCTTATCTTGATCTGAAGAATGGCCCTGAAGTTTGTTTTAAATTCTTATTTCTTACATCAGTCCAGAAAAAAGCCTACTCTCAAATCTCTGCAGCCAATTGGACAGAGTTAGAGAACTCACTATAAATTATTAATATCAGCAGAGAGTCTGCAAGTTTCAGTTGAGTCATTAATTTCATCCTGTGTCATCCCCATCCCCAATCTTGCACTAAAGTGTTAAGAACACTAGGTGGTAAAATTTTCAGGCATCAGGGAGAATGAAAGAAACCATGACATTAGTAATTCTTAGAAGGAAGCAGTCTCAAAGAATGGCTAACTCTAGAAGGCCAGTTGTACTGTAATGATGCCACTTGGTGGGGGTATTTTGCTCAGTGATTCTGCCACATGCCTCACAAGTGCAAGGACCCAAGTTCAATCCCCGGTACAAAAAAAAAAAAAAAAGCACTCAGGGTGCTACCCTCAAATTTTTTAAATTGCTGTACATTTTTCTAGTGCAATGGAAACTTAGTCATATTAGCCTTATTCTTTCCAACTTTCCAGAAGCTCTTTAGAGCAGTCAGTGATCAAGAAATTACCAATAATATGGCAGGAGGAATAGGAAGGACCTATCACATTTGACAGTTGAGAATTATTCTTATGAATTCAGTTATTTGGTGGCAATGCTGTTATACCACCTGGATTTTAAATTCAATAGAGCTGCATGGATTGGCACATCAACATTTACCCATGACATGACCAGATGCCTGGCATTTTTATCATGGGCTATATGACCTTCGGCAGCTCCCCACAGAAATGTCATGGAATGACAGTTCCTAAAATCTTTTCTTAAATTTCTGACCAATTTCTCCCACCCAGCAGAATGGGAAACCACATTCCATGAGCTCTGATCTCAGAGGCAAACCTCAGTGCAACTCACTCGTGCAGCACTGAATCCAGGAAACTCATTGTCGTTTCTGGGGATGGAACCCAGGACCTTGAATGTGCTAGGCAAGCACTCTGTTACTAAGCTACATCCCTGCCCCCCCCTTTAATTTTGAGATAGGGTCTTCCTAAGTTGCCCAGGGTGGTCTCAAACTTGTGGTCCTTCTGCCTTGGCCTCCCAGAGTAGCTGGGACTGCAGGCATGTGCCACTGCACCCAGCTTGGTACCAGGATTTTGCTCTGCTCTAGAGATCTGTTGGCTAAGCCAAAGTGGGAAACAGGAACCCTGAATCCTGGAGGTGGGCTATGCTATACAAAGGACTAGGAAGGTGCATGGGTCATTCTGGGATCTCTAGAAATGGAAGCAGAGAGGCTGGGGTATTTGGGAAGAGGAACACAAATGTAGAATAGAATTCTGCAGGGAGGAGGTAACTGACTGGTCCAGAGGAGTACCTCATTTCCTTAGCACATGCCAACAGCTGTCCACAAACAGCCCTCTTCCTAGAGAAACTGTGTTCTCCAGGTATCCTCCACCATCACACTATGTGTGTGCAAAGTGTGCTAAGTATGGAGGCATTGCTACACAGTGCAGCTCAGAGACCATCACCAGGGAGTTGTCCCTCCCTTTAATTCACTTGAGCCTCCCACAAGGCCAGTTCTTCTAGAGACCTTGGCTCCTCCACGACCAGCCCTCACCCAAAGGACTGAGACAAATGACATTAGTCCTAACCTTTAACCTCTGAGGAGAAGTGAGCTAGGTGCCAAGTAATGAAGAGTCTCAACTGCTGGTTCAAGTCAAAAGATGATAGGTCAATGTTCCAGGAGAGAATCCCTGTGAGAGAAAAAGAAACAAAGAGGATTCTAGATCAAGTCGGGAGGCCAGGATTGCAGGGCACACTTTCAAGCTCACAGAAGAGGGAAGGAGGAGGAGATGAGAACAGCTGCTATGACCAGCATCACTGAAGGGTGTCTGGGACTTTGTCTACCTCCGACCCTGAGCTGGGGAAGGACAGAGTTGAGATTAAACTTGTCAGTAATGAGTTTATCAGTGGCAATTTACTTGCAAGGCTGCCTTCAGTTGGTCTCTACAGTTAAGATTCTAGATTCTCCTTTCTCTCTGGATCCTGGCCCCTACCCCTCCACGGCTTGCTTCTACCCTCAGGTGCCTCCGCAGCACTGCGGCACAGGCACAGGGGAAGGAAGTGAGAACTGAGGGGCTGGAGCAACCGAAGGTCACTCTTCAGCCGGTTGCCGGCATTCAGAGATTTGAAATTTGTACTGTGCCAGTATCAGACCCTGAAGAAGAAACTATAAGGTAGGGGCAGGGACTCTCCAGGGGGTGGTGACGACTTTTGGGACATCTGGAGAAGGTCAATGCGGTGACCCTGAGGGAGAGGGGAGTGCCAGAGCGGCCCTCGGGGCTGCACCGAGTTCCCCTGCCCTGGGAACCTGCGGAACGCCACGGGGTGCGGTAAGGATGGGGAGGCAGGTTGGATGTGGACACGTGGCAGGGAGGATGCAAGTGGCACTGGATGGAAGAAGCGAACGTGCACGCCGGGAGGTGCATGCCGATGGCGGAGAGGCTTGGGAGGTAGGTGCTGCGGTGCAGCAAGTCAGCGGCTCACCTTGCTCTAGGTGGGCCCGCACAGCCCTCAGCTGGCTCTCGGTTCCGATGTCGCCGATCACGATGAGCAATGAATGCCTCCTCGGGTCCCAGCACGCCGGTGCCACTTCGGCGGCTGGAGTCTCGCACCGCGGCTCGGCGGGATTCTGAGCCGTCGGAGAGCCCGGGCCTGCGAGCCCCAGACCAGAAGCCGTC